TCGATGTATGCCAGGAACAGAGGATGCGATCGCATGCCGAACGAGATCGACAGAGTCGCTGCTCACACAAACAAATGACGACAAATGCCAACCTACGCTGGCCACCATCACTATCAATATCAAGCACAACGCGTGCCGAGAGCACATATAAACATTTTCAAAAGCATTGGGAGCATGTGCTCGGCAAGTTGTGGACTCGCTGTTTGGTGCTATTGACAGTGACTCCAGGCACTTGCAAACGGCGTGCAGGGCACTTCAGACGAACCCCACTCCTACTAAGGGAAGGGTACCTTGTCTTTCTGGCGTGTATTCGCGCCTTTCTCCGCCAGCAGTTCGACAACCTGTCGCCGACCCCATTTTGCTGCGACTATCAATGGTGTGGAGCCATCCTGCACGCACAGGCAGAGCGCACAATTCTATGCAGTGCGTTTATTGACCAAACGCAAAACGAATGCACTGCAACACAAATCCCTCGGACACATCCGCCAAAGGAACGAAGTAGCAGTGGCCAATACGTATTGTCCTGACAGCAAACAGTGTCGTTTTCGGTGTGAAACCCATAAACCAAGACGCCCTAAACCGCCTCCTCTCACCAATGCCCAGAGGCGCCCCAATGCCCCCAGTGGATCCTACTGGGATCCACCTAGATCATCCCAGAGCATCCCAAAGCAGCTCAGAATAGCCCATAGCTTTTCTAGAATATGGGAACACTCCATATGCCACAATGTACATTCAGACCTGGTCACACGGGCCCTGATACAATGCCCTCTTGATGTTTCTGATACTTACTTTGTGTGACCCTCTTGCACTAGCGACTCTTCATTGCGTTTCCATAGCATGCAAATGCGTTTCAAAACCAACCACCAGAAATTGGCAAAAACACAAGTGGACGAGAGCCACGAACATGGCAGGTGACGCAGCAGCAAGGAGCATGAACGCCGCTGCCAAGCCGTACCAATTTCCAGATGGTGCCAACCAACCTGAGGTGCACAGCCAGAAAACTCGGAACCAAGTTCCCGTCTACCAGTGCACTCTTTGCTGCGCTGGCATCATCTATAGAGTTTTACAGTTAAATCCAGCCACCCGGACCGCCCCTCCTGCAGAGATCACCATTGGTCTCCCCACCCACTCCATGTCGAGGTCCAGGGTAGCTGCTCCAGCCTGCAGTCCCTGCCTAATCGCTTGAATGCAAACTGGCAGGCTGGCTTGGCTTCACGGATAGCATAGTCAAGCTCATTAAACATGCAAACCGATCCTATGCTTACGCTGTGCGATCCCCAGTACTTCGTTGTGTATGTTGATTGGTCTGATGGATAGCCCGAATTTGCAGGCCTTCCCCATGCCCACCCCCACCCCCAAACCAAACCTGCACGTCCACCCCAAACCCACCAGTTTTTGGATCACAAGATCGTGTTTCGAATAAGCTAATTTGTTGGAGCTAAATTTCGACATGTGGGAGTTACTTCATGATTCCGTTCTTGCATTGCCCACCCCATTCTTGCACCCCACCCCACTCCATTCCAGGCCTCATGTCTCTCTGTTCCGTCCCCATTCCAGACATTTCCTTGCTCTGCCCCTCCTTGGCAAGTCGGAGTGTGGACCAATGACACCCCTGCGGCATGCCAGGGGCAGCACCCAACATGGCAGGCGCCACGGGCGCCATGCGAATGTGGGTGCTCCCAAATGCATTATACAATATGCCCCACACTTTTCTGCGCCCCACAGTGCACATCTCCTAGCCATGCGCTAGCAGCGACCACGATCGGTGGGAAAGCGCAAGGCGCCACGTAGGAGGCGTAGCGAAACGATACGGGGGCGCCTAGTGCCCCTGCATGTGTGAACTTGGGCGCTCAACATGACAATATGGAAGGGGCGCGGTGAAATATTCGAAGAAAGGTGGGGGTGGGATATGCCCAAAACCCCATCGCTGGTAATAAACGCTAAGAGCGGGTGCAGATTTGATTTGCTTTTTTGAATTCAGACGCAATGGGATTTATTCGACAAGGCTGGGCATGCCAATCAAATAGGAGATAGGGCGCAATCATGGGAAATGAGCACTAGAAGAAAAAGGAACAAAAAGCACTTTTATGCGAACACATGTGAAATGCATTTCGTCAATGTTCCGCATGCCAAGACACGAAAATAGCCCAAGCCCATAAATTTCGTACACGTTTGAATACGTGTTATTTGGACCTTCTTTTCCTAGTGAGGGTGCGACCACTGCCTCTCAGCCACGCGAATGAGATCCGCCAGGTGAAATTACCAAACGAGGAAGATCGTTCGGGTGGATGCTGGTGTTTGCAGGCCAAGATAGGACCGAGGCGCCTCTACTACTGTTTGTGGCCATAGCCCTGGCCATCTGGTGCTGGGGTGCGTCCCAACACTCAACAAGTGCCAACAAGGCCGGCAATTACTGTGATCGCCGGCGGATATCGATTGCTACAACTTCCCACCATGTGGAACCACACGGCGGCGCCTCTAGTGCCAACTTTCGGATGACGAAGGACACCAACAGCCAGCGCACACTGTCGGCCAACAAGGCCAACCTTTCGTAACCGTGTCAATGTGCACTTGTGGCTGTGTGCGGGCACACGCCATGATGGCACCATTGGTGCCATTTTGGGCTGAGAAACACGCTGGCTCCCAGCGCTACCGAGCCCATCGATTCATTCCATGCGCTGTCCTGCTGGCTCACTGCAACGTCAAGTCGGGCTCTCATCCTAAAACTGGAAAGAGACAGGACCAGGAACAGGATGTGAAACGAAATCGAAAGAACAAACAAAACAAACACCATTCCCGTTTTTATTCGAATGTTTGGATATACAGTCACTAGAATTCGTGCCATGTTCAAACCGCATGAGCGTCCTGGCGGTGGGGCACCGGTCGGGATTATTTGCAGCTCACACGTCGGAACGAGGATTGCGAAGCCATTCCTCCAGCTGAGGAAGGGGTGCGCGCTCCAATGGAAGCCATAATATGCATTGTCTCATTCCCTCGATTCCGATCAAAGCAAGGGACATGAGTTCCCTAAGGTCTTGTTGAGCAGCAGTTCAAAGAGCTCTCGGTTGGGTGGAAGTCTACAACGTGTCGCTGTCCTATCCCCAAATGGGTGTAATACATTGTGGTAATCGTTTTTAGCCACACTCCCGGGAATGCTGATCTTTGTATTCTCTTCCTTTTTTAGGAAAACAGACCCCAAACCCAACCCACCTACACTCGCACTCGCAAAGGAGGAACTCAACAGTAATTGCTGAAATTATTTTATACCGCCATCATGTAATGAGGTACCCCCCATACCATATGCACGCCATTGTCGCATACCCCTCGTATACACACAATAAGGCAAATGCAAACGTGTCAACATATGAATATGTAAACTTTCAAAGACGTGTGGTCCATAACAACAGCAATTTTGCTAATCTCACACGTTCCAAAACTGGCTGTCTCGTGTGCAAAAGGAAGTGCACGAAACTATCGGGTAAGCACATTCACATTCAACACCGAAGTCTCCTTTACACCATGTGCAACAGCACCAAAACTCCCTTTCAGAAGACCACAGCAGAGATAAGAACACGATGGCCAAAAGCGGGAACTCCGTTCACAAAAAAAAACTGCATAATTACAGAGAGCTTGCAATGCGTTATGTTGAATGTGATGTGCTTTACTTGGCAGTTGAGAATTGGGGCGCTGACAGAAAATTTAGAAATTCAGAAAATTTCAGCAACGATGCTGGAGCGCCTTCAGAGTATTCTCACCTTTGTGCGGCAACACACGCCAGCACCATGCTCTAGGAGAAACTCAACAGCCGCCTTCTTGCCATTTTGGCACGCACAGTGAAGCGGCGTGTAACCACCCTGCGCACAGATGCTTTTAAAACACCACAAATTGATCACAGGCCAGCAGTTGGGGTAAGTTTAACATAGCGCAAAGACTATTGTGGATTATGGTGCACTTTGAGCTGTTGCAATTGGGCTGTTGGTTAGGAAGTCACTGCAAAGACGAAGGCCAACAATTGCGAGTAGCTACTAGGGTTCTTTGTACACTGGTATTGGCTTGCACGGTTGAGCAAAACTCCATACGTTATGTTGTCCGTGTTGCAACGTGCAGAGAGGGGGTTGGTTTACCACCCTCAAGTGGTACCAGTGGTACTAGTGGTTTGTGCGTTCATGCAATATTTGGTTCGCTGTCATCGGGTTTGACCCATTTGCGCCTTGTGAAGAATGCCCAGTGCTACTGTGTCCACTTGTCCCAGCGCCATCAAACTGAGGCACACGATGTGGGAGCAGGCTCACACTTGCGCAATCTGAATAAACGAGCAGCCCTGCCACTTCAGGGGAGAAACCATTGACTTGATCATCCAGACCAGGTTAAGCGTGTTTGACAAGCGCTATTCCACATGATCGGTGAAACCCTTTGGCGCATTGGCAACGGCAGCTTTGCTTTGCCACACACAAGGACAAGAGCAGCCCTAACCAGGGGGTCTCAGTGGACAGGGCATACAAAGACGCTAGGAGAAAGGGGGGGGAATTGGAACCGCAATATGGGTAAGGGTCCAATATCTTCTGAAATTGTTGGTTATGTATTTTGGGCTCAAACCTTCAAATTCTAACCTCATGCGGTAATTTACAAATATTGTTTGTAAGAACATATCCTTTAAGTTTGGGACAAAGGAATCAATTTGGGACAGAGGAATTAGTATGGTGGATATGAACATGACTTCCTTTGTCCAGAACCAAGTGAACACATTTGCCTGGGTCCAGACACCCTCTGGAGGGCAGCATTCGCATCGCCAACTTGTATTTTTCCTTGCAATTGGGCCCAAACCTCACCCAAAAGTTTTTTTATACATCCTCAAATGTTTTTGTAAATTGAAAAATGCAATTGACATTGGCAATACGCTGAGCTCTGGTGACTAGATTCCCCAAATCGGAAATCAGATTCCATTGGAAATCAGATTATTTTGGGGTCTCAGGGGAAACCCCAGAAGCGCCATCCCTGAATAGGTGCCTTGCAAAAGAATTGGATATTTGCTGCCATCATTTTACCAGTATTTCAAAATCGTCCCAATACGGGGCGAGACCTCAAAATCGAGCTTCAAAACATGTGTTTTGACCATCTAACACGATGTTGCATCCACATATCCTACATTCAGAACTTGGGTGAGTTCACAGTAAAGAGCGCCTTCACAATGCACCGCCTCTACATACCAGGCAATTGAGAGTGTAAAAATTGTGTTGAGAATTTCAGAAACAAGTGTGTTCATGCTTCTATAAAGGAGTAGAAAGAGCTCCAGACATTGCTGCTCTGAGCACTGCCATCACAAGGTTATCAGGGCTCTTTGTGCAGCTTTTGGGATGCCCTGATACATTTCTTGTCCCACCCATGCAGGATGCTAAAAACTTCATCGCACAATCAGCGAGAAGCTCCACTTGCATATTGAATGGGTGCCCATCAAACATGGATACTTCAGAGCAGAAAAATAATCGTAGTTAAGCTTGCTCCTCTAGCAAGCAGGCAAGCAAGCTCCAACAAAGAGCATTATGGAGGTGACCAACAATGCTCAATTCGCTAGCTTGTATGGCAATCAAAACGCGTTAATCCATCCCACATTTTCAGATTCTTCTTTCATTAGCTTCTTCATCAAAATCCATTCTTGAGATGTAAAATTATGTATCTACTCAATTGCTGGGTCCTTGGGCTCAAATTTGGTGCTCGAGTACACATTCTAACTAATCTAGAACGGGTCAGAATGACACAGAATTGACACCCATGCATTGCACATCGTCCACTGAGCGCATGAAAAATCTCTGAGAAACATGACCAAAATTGACACTAATGTGTCCACAAATGAGCTGCAAAAGGGTGTCCCAAATCTTTAGCCCTTTTAGCAAGCCATTTGAAGCCACGAACTACAGCTCCCTGCATGATGGTGCTCGATATGTGCTTGATACCACTGATGCCATTGAATATTGGCCAATCTTGGCCCTCTCAACAACCCCATGGGTGCCAAGTGGAGTCAATTGGTGGCAATACACCCGACGCATCTCCCGCAGCTCCGCTCACTCCTCATGCCTCGCCGGCCTCCAAGAGCAGTGCGTTCACTCCCCTGAGCCCCCACGACCAAACTCCCCATGCAAGTTGGGAGCTGACATCCCTCTCCATAATCTTATTGGGTTATGAGCCATAGTTGTTTGTGGCTCCGATGTCCAGCCACATAGCAATGCAACGCATTCTCTCTCTTCAACTCCACTTGCATTCTATCTCAGCAGGATGTAGATCCTTCCCTTGTCCGTATTTTCCTTTGGCTACATAGTGTCTGCCTTGTCAAGATTGGCATTTTGGCCACATGGATGGGATGGGCCACCCACAGTCCCATGATTGGCCATTGGTCGCACGCTGCAATCTCTGAGCATTGCTCCAATTTTCTGATGCGAAGCCCTTCAACATGTCCCTCTGAGCCATCGAGCTTGGTTTTGTTGCTTGTGCATGGGTTTCTGATCTGTTTTGGGTGGCGAGGGAGTGACGGGCAGTGCTCTAGTACTTTGCAACAGGTGGCGTCTTGTTGGTGCTTTCATGGTGCTGCTTGGACTTCTGTATATTGCCGACCTTGTTAGATGGTGCTTCTGGCCTACTTCAAGCCTATGGTGGCTACGCTGACAGACCTAGGGCCATAGGGCCTATAGCCCCTCAGAGCGTTCTTGGTCCCTGTGACACCGTCATGGTGGTGGGAAGGTGGTGCCACTAACGTTCTCATCTTGGGCCAAGTCTGGGCTACGTGCCACCGGTCCGAGGCCTTATGGGGCGCCAGTTGAGCGCTACTAAAGGGGCACTGCCGATAATGTAATCTTTCTATATTAATTGGTGCCCCAAACAACATCCAATAGTTCAGCCATCAAGAATGTTGGAAGTTCATTGTGGTTGAAGGACATGGTTGTGCTCCTACTACGTTGTTCACTTCATAACCATGGCAGAACAGAAAGTATCTGGTGTGCATAGTAATGGTATGGCAATTCTCAGAAAAGCTGACTCCCTTCTTTAAGGGATGGATCCTATACATGATAGGATGGCACGACAGAGAATGGCTTGAAATGGTGAAAATTGCCAATAGCAAGACACGGGAAAACTAGGAGACATTTCTGCCAGTGCTACAGCGCGTGCTATGGGCGCCTAACGCTTTGGCTAGCGCTTCAGTGACGCCAGTGTTTCCTTTCCCAACGCCGTGGAGCCCATGGGAAAGAGCCCCACTTGACAGCGGGCCCTTCTTGGAGACAAGACGCCATTTTATGGCCTGGCCACAGAAGCCCGGAGGTATTTCAATGTGTGATCCGAAGTTCAATGGATCTAATGCAGTACCAAATCTGACGATGTAATCTGTTTTCAACAAAAAGATGAGAGCCTAGTATATGTCTAATATAGTACTTCCTCCGTCCCACAAAAATGTCCACTACTTGTAACGCTCATGCCATTATGCTGCGATAGTATATAAAGTCAATCGTTCATACCAGCTTCACATTCGTAAAGGTAAAATGCCAAATCCCTCGGGAGACACTGGAAACACAAAAACAATCTGGCCATCGATACCTTCCGCACCAACCAAATCATGTTTCAGTGCGGCCCAAAACCTTCCCATCAGAGCCAATGACCCTCCAGTGTGTGACCTTTGAGCAGCTGTGGTGCATCAGAGGAAGACCTAAAAAAACTTGTTGCGACCACCCGCAAGGGCGTGGTTCACAATATGAAATAGCAGGGTCAGGTGTCCTCCGAAACTCGCAGATTCCATTGCTTGGTGAACACTTCTTGGATGGGCACCTGGTCAGCCACCTCTGTCCTTCCCAGGACCACCATTGCGTTTCCCACATGCCATAAGGAGAAACCACAGCCTAACACGTTTATGGCGGTTGGGGCAACGGAGCCCATAAGAAGGGCGCTTTGCAGCCCATCTTCGGAACATTCTGCTTGCCCTTTGCTAGAACCGAAGGTGATGCCACATTTACGCTCCGCATAAACATTTCCAGACAGAGAAAGAGTATGTCTCTGCAGGAACTCTGCATAAGTGGGGAGAAAAATACACAGATATGGCTAGTTGATGGGCCGCTTACAATTTGCACATCGCTTCACTTGAAATGCCGCCCATTCAATAACTAAGCGCTAACAACGAATTTCATTCACACTGGGGCAGCATTTCGCAGTAACCTCACCTTTTTGGTGCAACATACGTCTGCGCCATTATCCAGAAGAAACGCAATAGTCTCCTTGTCGCCATTCTGGGATGCACAGTGAAGCGGTGTGTAGCCGTCCTGTGCATGCGCATTGTTGGAATGTCACAGGTCTTTCACAGGTCAGCAACTGTAAGGAAATCAACACGTTTGAAACGATTGGAATTTGGGGATCTACTGTCAGGCTCAACGTCCAAGCCGCCCTCCTGAGTGCACACCAGGACCATTACCTGTTGGATAGGGAAGGGTATATCAAGTAACAGCATGACAGCCAAAACACTTAGACATGCATTGACATTTGCATCACCGAGGGTTCCTTGCCATCATCCGCAAAAACCAAACAAACGGAGTTTTTAGAAGGCCATAACATTGTACCCACAAACAGCAATACATACGCTGATTCAGCAACACAACGCCAGTGAAATGAGACACATATTGAAATGGTCAGATGACAGGGCACGTGAAATGAACATATCACTGCGCTTGGCTCATCCCATCCACTCGAAAAATGGGCCTCTGATAACGAAATTGCTGTTTCGCTGCCACAGCGCCTACATAGAAGATCACCTGTGAGGCACAGCGCACGTCTGCTCCTTTTTGAAGGAAGAACTCAACAATTTCCTTTTTGCCACCCTGGGATGCACAGTGAAGCGGCGTGCACCCATTCTGCACGTGTGCATTTTCAAAGGTCGTAAATCATTCATGCAGCAACGACAACAATAAACTCAGCACTTCCTCAACGATCAGAATTGGAGGATCCACGATCAAGCACAGAAAATTCGGAGTCTCCTTCCCAGGTACTACCAAAATCGTTTATATTTTTGGAGGGAAGATAGGTTCGATCTAGTCCATGCTCATTGCAGGGGCAAAATAATCCAAACTGAGGCTCAAAATAGTCCAAATTGAGCAACGTATGTCAGCTACAGAGAGGTTCGACCTAGTCCGAATAGAGGGGAAACTCAGTCCAGAATAAGGTCCAACCTAGTCCACGGTCAGCGGAAAGAAAGTTTAGACCAAATTGAGGCTCAACCTAGTCCAAGTTGAGGTTCAAACGAATATAGCCGTACGGAACACAGATGTTTGATACCCTTTGTCTCAGGAGATGATGGTCGGCGAGGTCTAGGTGTATCTTGTGTGCAGGTCCCAATCTCAGCTTGGACTAGCTTGAACCTTAATTGCACAAGGCTTTCCCTTTAGTGAGCGTGGACTAGATTGAACCACAATTTGCACCAGGCTTAAAGTCGACACCCAGTTACCTTACAACATAATGACAAACGGAGCCTGCATTGATAGTTTCAATTATGGAAAGTTCTATGCCATTGCATGTAAATCACAGAACGCAGAGTCTCATGCACTAAATGGACCACAAAAGTGCAGACATGAGCAAATCAATGTGCATGGACATGTGCAAGCTCAAATTTGATGAAGCGAAATGCACAGACAAGATTGCCGAACTTCAGTGAGATCACAATTGCAGTTGCGCTTGACGTAATGCCATATGTTGAAGAAGTGCGCGTCAGACAACGCAATGGCAGTACCACTGCCACAGCACCTTCGCAGCATCCTCGCCTTCAGGGTGCAACCCGTGTCCGCGCCGTTCTGTAGGAGGAACTCAACCATTTCCCTGGTGCCGCCCTGGGATGCACAGAGAAGCGGTGTGCTCCCATTCTGCACATGTGAATTCACAAAGCATCACGGATGGCTCATAAGCCAACAACTGCAACAAAAGTGACAACTTTGGAGAGATTGTTATTGGATGATATGTGACCAGTCGCAACACCAAAGTGCTCTGACAAAATTACGAATCAAAATCGGATACATTTCTGAGAGACATGTGGATGAGGGCACAGCATGAGGACTGGACATGTGACCACGATGAGGTTGGACCTCAAAACAACAATTGCTTGGATATTTAGGGCTTAAAAAGTGGGCGAAGGGGTGCTCAACAGATACAATTGACAGCATAGACAGGTGCCTGCAATGCACATATCACTGCGCTTAGTTCAATGCTATCCATTCAATAATTGAGCCGCTGACAACGAAAATCCAGTTGCACTGTCGCAGCGCCTTCACGTTGTCCCACCTTTGCATGGAAATTCACGTCCTCGCCGTTCTGCACGAGACACTCAACAACCTCCTTACGTCCATGATACGACGCACAGTGAAGTGGTGTGAAACCGTCCTGCACAGGTTCAGTTTGAAGAAGTGTCATACCACCATTCCAAAAGTCGTGGCCGAATACAGATCTTGCTGCAACTTTGCAAGATCATCTCAATCAATCAATCTGTCAGCAGATTCGGGTCCCTTGGTCGATTTTAGGTCGATATGGCTCCTGAATACATTATTCATCGCCATAAAACACGACACTCACTGCCCAATCAAAAATGTCCCTGCTCAATTTCATGCAGGACTTCTATTCCCCGCATTGTTGCCTTGGCCTTATTCTGTTATGTTCTAACTCATTCCTCCAAAAATCCATGATGAAATTTGTTGTAGACAACAAGTGGCCACTGCTACATACCTCACCAGGTTTTCGCGACAAGCGTTGCTGCCCGGATTTCTAGGACCCAAGCATAGCAACAAGTTGGTATCCAGGGAATGAGCACCAATATATAACAATTTTCAAACAGGCATTGCCACAAGGCAAGACGGCTGCATACCCAATCACTGCACTTGTCTAAATGCCATCTATGCAAGAATTGGGCTGCTAACAGTGGAAAGGGAATCACACTGCTGCAGAGCTTTTACAAAATTATCACCTGTCTGGTGCAACCCACGTCTGCGCCATTGCGCAGGAGCAGCTCAACGACCTCCTTGCTGCCACCTTGGGATGCGGAGTGCAGTGGCGTGTTACCATCCTGTGTGTGTCCATTTCGAAAACGTCACAAATCGCTCGTAAACCAGCAACTACAATGCAGTAATGAGCTTATAAAAATCAGCACTGCAGGTTAACACCATAATAAGTTCACCAAATTGGCTGTTCCCCTCATGTGCCTTCTCCCCAAAGCGGACATCCAAATTTCAAATGGGACATTGAAGCTAGTACTGCACAGAACGACCCATAAATTTGACCCATAACCTCTCATCTTGGTGCTCACTGGTACTTGCTATCCCCAATTCGTGTCCATATATGAATGCCTTGGCCTTCTGCTCCTTTCCAACCAGCATTTCAAATTGCAAAACGTGAAACAAAGTGTCCTTTCACATTCACGTGCTTGTGCACTGGTTTGGTGTGCATGCCAGCCACACAGACGGCATCGCCTTTTTATTGACACTAGGGTGCTCTGATTCATGCTCACTGTCTCCAACTTTAAAAATGGCAAGGCTTCATGATGCAAACCTACCAAGATGGTTGTGGACATCTGTGCAAATTATCATGCAACTAGAACCTTCGTGGCCCACGTGATGGAGGTTGGTAACCCCCTTTCTTGAAGCTCAGGCCCTCTAGAATCTTAATAGTGTTCCAAGCAGGGTGTTTCATGGAGTGCTTCAAACACCCTGCAGGGTGTTTGAAGCACTCCATGAAACACCCTTGGAACATCTGGCGCAAAATGTATTGGGGGTGGCCCCACAATACATTTTGCGCCAGATGTTTATTACTTCCTCCGTCCCCAGAAGTTTGGCAGTTGTGGCTCGGGGCCTTGGCAACAACTATCAAATCATCTCCAATAACGCTGGAATTTTAATCAAAAGGTGAAATTTGTATCAATTTCGGTCCACCACAATTTTAGATCAATAGGCCAATCAGTGAGGAAGATGTGATGCCTGAAACATTGGCATGTCAAACCAAATGTCCTCCAAGTCTCAAGGTGGCACTCAGATAGGCGATTTTGTCCATTACACCATTTGGGATGTGCTAGCATCTGCAAATAAAGTGATCTGAATGGTCGAGATCAGTTGTCGAGGAGCTCTAAGCACTATAGTTTCTGACCCACAGCGAGGCTTGTATGACAGTTCTGTACGACGTACCTGTGTTTCAAAGGTCGCATCTTCTTCAGTTACTGTACTTACGTGATTGATCTAGGACTGTGGAACATGATTGAACAGGGATCGAAATTGAGGGAAAGTTCAATATTTGGTCAAAATTTTGATCGCTATTCGAGATGTATTAGTAGGGATTTAGGGTGCAAGCGATCCTAGATATGAAGATCTTGACTCAAACCTACATAAATGGCAATGGACCAGTCCCAAGCACAACGGCTGAGAAGTGTTGGAAATATATCCTTGTTACAGACTGACCAAAAGAAAGTGCTTTCTTGGCCGTTCTCAACGCCTCCTTGGGATTGAGGATTTTCGTGACAGAATACCCGAGACTGCTGCCCGTATTGGGAACCTTGCAGATTTTTTTAGGCAGCGGGATCCCCTTGATTGACACAAGGGATGGACATTGGATATCAAACACCAATTGGCAATCGCATTCATGTCTCCTATCATGGCGTCTTGGGAGAGGCACGCACCCACCAATCCAGCCATCCTAAGCTTAAGCTGTCCATCTCTGGGCGCAACCATCGGCACCCAGAATATGCATGCAACTGGTCAGAAATCGTCATAAATAACGTCCTAAATACTGACCCCGCCATTCCCTCATGCGTTTTGAATTTCAGGGCTGCATAGCTGCAACTTGTACGAAGGTTGTTCGGTGGCCCATAGGTTTTCCCATTGGGCATGTTGCAAAGGCAATGAACCATTGATTACCCATGCAAATGCCGCTGGGTTGCCCTCAGGTCACAGGCACAGCCGCAGTGTCCAACTCTGTCTTTGTGCCATATTGGATGACAAGTGCCAGGCGATTTGTGAAAATTTGCCTGTACGGGCAATGCCTTATTTGTTTCAAACTTGATAATTAAAGTGGAGGATTCTTGTATCAGACACAACGACATCAAAGCTGCTCTCATAGGTACATACAAACACAGGTTACATCTTAGAGCACGTATACCAACAAACAACATGGGGGCCGAAACATTTAGACCAACATTTCCATTTCCATTCCAAAACGAATTTTCAATAAACCATGAAAGTGTGGTGGGCAGACATTAATCCGATGGTATTTGCAATATTTGTTCAGCATGGAATCCAAATTCAAAATATTTATTCGCCACTTCAACCGTAGTTGACAGCCATTTCTTGGCAGCTCCATTTTAGCTTGGCCGCTCCCCGTCTGGCTTATGTGTCAACCACTTCAGCAATACGCATTTGGCCCCACCAGTGCTTGCTTTTGCCCCTTGCAGGCCCTAATCGTGGCCAGCCGGGGTCGCTAGTTGAGACGGTCGGAAAAAGGGGCGGGAATGGTGGACTATACGCCATCTCTCAATTTCGCCACTTTTGCCTCTCGCAGCTGATGATTGTGGCCACCCCTGGAGCCGTATACTGGCACCCGTGAGGAGCAGCAAACGATGCCCTTTGGTGGTGAATGCCAGTGCTCAATTGAGAGCATCCCGACACCTAAGGTATGGATGGAGAAGCCCAACAAGACACAAGAAATCGCCAGGAATGTGAGGTCGAACGCTGCTTCCCACTCCCACCAATTGTGACCACTCATGAAGGATTAGATTAGCATCTGTGGGTGGTGGCGCACCCGCTTCAAAAAGTCACGGATATAGGCTGGCCCGCCGTCACCATCCGTTAACTCGCAGACATAGAAAGACGACGCTAACACCGTCTGCTAGCTTGCTGACATAAAAAAGAAAACGTCACAAGCTCGCAGATGGATGACTGGAAAATTAAGTGATGCGTTTGCTGATGGACAAAACCAAACACAAATCAGCAGATGTATATGAATGGGTGCGTTTTCCCCCCAAACTGGCTTGTGGACGGTCTGTCTGTCCATGAAACGCGGAGGGCCCTGAGCTTACATCACATTAACAAGCAATGATAACATGCTTGTTCATATGCTGCAAACTTTTGGCATTGAGTGTACTCCTGAGCATATCTGCTGCCATCGGATGTCCATGTCATGTTTTCAGTGACATGTGTAATAACCTTTTGAGTTTTGCACGACAACCGCTTGTGCTGCCCTTGTGTTAGAATTCGCTTGTGAGCAAGAAGGCAATTCACTTGCTCTCGAGAGAGGTGTTCTGGGCAAGCCCCAACAGGAGACTCAAAAGAGGTTCTCCGCCCTAATATGCCGAAATCTCAGGGATGGTTTGATTGAGTCATGCCATTTCTTTGGTGCATAATCTGATATTAGAATAGCAGTGTGCAACTCCCATGGTAACCTTTGCTAAGGCAGCCACTGGCAGGACTTCTGGTTATTTGCGCTCTAGAGTAATATTATTGACATGAAGCCAGCGAAGGTCAATCTGGCAATTTGGATTGTGGGCCAGGCCATAACTGTATTGTGTGGTGGAACTTGAGACTCGGTACTTGCCAGAATCAACCTCCACCAATTTGGGATCCACTGAAGCTCATTTTTAGCATTGCTCAGCCTCTTTACCAGAGATGGCTCTGCATGTGTACAAGTTGCACAGCTGCTATACTGCATTTTTAACATCTGTAGTTTCCTATGGTCATGTCCTTCATTTCAGCATATCCTTTTTCTTACACACCTTGTTTGGGACATTTACGGCTGCCCCAGTCAGCAAAAGCCACTCCACGACTTGTGCTTGACCCTGCATCGAGGCAGCATGAAGTGTTGTACAGCCACCCTGCCACAATAGGTGTCACAAAGATCTAGTTAGGTCCAGATTCAGCATCCCGTGGTGCATGAAATTGATACTTGCAGAACGAGCACAAGAACAATATTATTTTCCCATGTGCTCTATTTCAGGTTTCCCAGCCATATGTCTTATCCATAGGTTCTGCAACATCAGAAACACCCCATTGCGAAATTAATGGCCACAGTGCTTCATCTGCAGCCTTCGTCACTTTCTCCGACACAATGTGCACCGCCTGCTTTAGCAACGGTTCTGGGAAAAGGGATGCTAAATGCATTGTTCACAAGGCCTCCATGTTTGATTCTAACTTCACCAAAACAACTTTCAACAAGGGGGGCATTTGTGTACTTGAACGGCAAGTTGGTAATTTCATAGGGCATAGGTAGTTTGGCCTCGTCTCCACACCCATCTGCAATTGTTCACATGAGCTGCCCATCAACAAATTAGTGTTCATGAGTGGCGCGGGCTTGTGGATAGTAGTGGAGAAAGTGAGTGTGCCTGCCTGCCTGCATGCATGCATACATGCATACATGTGTGCATTTGTGTGCTCGAAGGCAGCACCTAGACAAACAATGGGTCCAATGGAATAGCTCATGTCTGCACAAGACCATGGCTTTAAAGACTGTTGCCTACTATAACTCGTTTGGTAGTCTAGCATGATATACAGCACATGTGAGGATGTTCACTATATACATGGTGACCTTCCCATCACTTCGCATGGCACCTAGAACCTCCTCAAGTCATGGCCATCAGATTTTCATATTTAATGCCCCTCAAAGGGACCGGAGAGCGCAGAGTGGTAAGGCGCTTGGCTTGCCACCGAAATGTGCCAGGTTCGACACTCGCCAACCCCGCTAGTCATCCGGCTCTCTTTTCAGCGGGCCCCTGTGGGGTGTCCCCCCTGATCCACTATAAAGGTGCAGATGAGACTTAGGGGGGTTCTCCATCAGGCGGCAATGGGAAAAGTGGACGAAGTGAAAACTTGAGACTCTATAGGTGAGTGCTACATGGTCGGAGGGATGCTCGCAGTCGTATTTAGAGGCAGGCGCTCGAGTTGGACGCTAAGTGGCTTGAGTCGGAATCGATAACCAGGAAATTGCCTGCCCCGGACAGTACTGGTCAGCCTAGCCCAGGGCCTTGCCTCCACCCTCCCTGGATCTGACTGAGATGGCATCTGAAGACTGGCGTGGATGACCCTGCCTAATGTGGACGGATGCCTGTCCAAAGGATGGCAGCCATACCGGCTGAAGTAGGAGCCATACAGCAGGTTGAATACCTGGGGCACCGCTAGGAGGTCAACGCCAATATGGCTAGTAGGGCTACTCAGCCCAAGTGAGGATCTGCCAAAGACATGGGCGTTGGAAAGTCATTTTGACATGCGTGGTAATCAAGGTGGTTGGGGAGCAACACGCCCCTCGAATAGGCTGGCAAAAGTCAAAGGCTGGGAGCATGGCGACTGAATAGAAAAACAGCAAATTTAGAAATACAGAGTCGAATAGCGGACGATTGGTAGTGCTAGATGTGTGGGTGCAGGTGGGACATTACCTAAAAGATTGGTGGACACCACAGAGGACGATCACCAATTGTTCCTAGCAAGAACAAAATACAAAAACAATACAAAAATACACATTGCTTGCGCAGCCATGCTCGCTCGTTTTGATTTTGATGGGCTGGCTGCCACTGAGGGGCACTCCCATGCGCGCCATGGGAGCACCTAAATCGCATTCCATGGGAAACAACAGCACCCTGGGTGGCTCTCGACTGGCTGGAGATGAGCAGGCATGTGCATAGCGGATGACTTGGTGGTGGGGGTGAGCGGAGGGTGGGGCGGTAGGGCGTTTCCAAGGAAAACTTGGACGGATTGTGGTGGGGCAGCGTGTGGCAGCGTTTCTGGAGGGCGGGAAGGTGGCTGGGGAAGGTGAAACTTGGAGCTGGCAGTAGTGCAAGGCGATCAGTCACATGGCGTCTCGTGGGGGCCCAGCCCCACCAACCCCGGGGGGTAGAGATGGCCCCCAAAGGTGGAGGAATCCAGGCCTTTTAAGCCCCATGAGGTGCCTTGAAATTGGCATCGTTCATGACTTCCTGGGTTCTCCCCACGTGCTCCCCACAATCACCCAAACCGCGCCCCTCCCCCTGCCCGTGCTCGTCCCCCCCACATTATTACAGTGGTAGCTCTTGATGCACCACCACACCTTAGAATAGGTGTGCTAGCTGATGAAGAGATGCTACGAATGTTTCTCCAGGGGGCCAAGAAAATTGTAGAAAAATCCAGGCAAAAACATATGTTAATGGAGAAAGAATGGAAATGAGAACAAGGAAGGAAATTTCCATTGCCATTCTTGGGCTTTGGGGCTAAAGAAAAATAAAGAATAGATAATCCAGAGCCAAGAATGAGGTTAGAAAGGAGTTGGGACAGTGCACTCTACCCTGAGATATATTTTTGCATGTGGAAAATTTTTCCTTTCTTGTGTGACCCACACCATTCTTGTGCCCTACTCTTGGTTCTACTCTATTTGTCAATCTGATGTGCGGACAATGAACATTCAATTAGATTTGGGAAAAGAACCTGGTTCAAGGCTGGCAATGTATCCCAATCTTGTGCTCAAAATTTTGGACCCAAGTTGTTTTGCACTGTGAGCATTGGTGAGGATGAGCTGTTAGTGTTATTGGAAAAACTAGCACATAGGAAATTGAAGGAAGAGAGGGAGGGGGTGGGATCGCGTGGGCATAATTGACATGTTGGGCCCCTTGCTATGTCAACATTACAATGCTGGTGCCAATTAATTGCTCTAGGGACACAACCTATACATATGGCAATACACCCACAATGGCACCCTCCCCAAAATTGCTCCCAAACTCTTCATCACCTTGAGTACCCCAAAGGCTGTGGGATGGAGAGTGGAGTTACTGTTGGCTTTTCAGAATTGCAACATTGTTGACACCAAGAATTATGTTGCGATGTCCATTCCTTGCCCAAAAATGCATTTGGAATTGCATTGGATCTTTGGTGAATGCTGAGTAACCAAGCCAAGTGCAAGGTATTGCCTTTGCCACAACAAGAAATGAGCCCTATCCCGTGACTCCAAAGTAAAGGATGCACTTGCTACTTGCTATGCCTTGCTATGGCACTTACTATGACACATCATTTGGCTCATCCTGGTTTAAAGAAAGAAGGCATTTTTTGAGGAGTTTGGACACATTTTCAGAAAGCCCTCAACATGGTGCATGGAAGCCATCATAGTTCTGGTCTGCACATTGTGATCTTTGGTTGTGCAAATCCTAACAAGAGGCAAGGCTCTTTTAGCAAACGTATTGCGAATAGCAATGTTTGTGCGCACCATATTCTTAGCTTCATCGGCCACCTTTTGCAGAAGAATCTTGAAGTAATCAGCACTTGCAGCAGCTTTTCCAACCTCCGCTCTAGCATTCTGTGTACACCCCAACATTCAGTACAACATTAATGTTTTATTGCTGATCGATGTCATGCCTGCTGATGCTCATCCTGCCTGTTGTTAAATGAAACAATCTGTTGACTGACTGCACTCTTATCATGTACTTTCTAGCTTTAATTGGAAATTGTACCAGAGTATCTACTATGTATTTAGTCAACATTATCAAAAATTCATTGACAGAAAATAAGATTCAGGCATATGGTAATACTTTGAAACTGAACGACTCAGCACCAGAATTTGAACATTTGCAGTCAGTCCCACATCCAACCAAAAGCTGGCGCCTCGAATCCAAGAATCCCCAACGCACGAGTGATGCCCCCTCCAGCGGCCTTCACAGTATCCGAAGGGTGTAGTTATCTAGGCGCTCGGATTCTAACCACAAGATCGACAACCGTCGCAACAAATGATCGACAGATATGATGCCTTGGTCTGCCAACAGCAGTGCCACTGCATATTACTTGTTAACAGTTTTAAACTGTGCGTCTATAGTGCAACGTTGCTTGATGCAAAATGCATCCACCTCAAGTGGGCCCTGGTACTGGCCGACCTACTGCAAAGAAATGACATCACTTGGATGACAGGAAGTGGATTTACAGCTGCAATCACGTGCCCGTGTCACAAGCAAATATCAAATACCCTGCATCACCACCCTCAACATCAGGCATCGTATCTCTTGTCTGTCCCTTCTCCTTACTTTCCTTTCGCCCCAAACAAAGGGCCTTGAAATTGGCACGTCCTAAAGGAGCCTGTGTCAAAAAAACTAACTTCTTGCCTCGTCCTCAAGAGAGTGTCGATTTCGTCCAGTATAGTCCATGCCAGAATTTAAAGTATCCCTGTTCAGTGCACTCTCGTACAGAGATGGATGGTGTTCAGGAACCCATTGCATTGCAATGTTTTTGTGGATCTAGCACCGACACCACAGTTGGTGAACTCAAACCAAAGTAAACTTTTGACAGCTCTATCAACGCCCTCTCAGACCTTCCAAGTGTTGCGTGAGGGTTACGTGCCAAAACCGTGGGAAGAGGGTGTTTTCTGCGACTTTCTTATGACCATGGGGCTGGGGTCTCAGTCCTGGTAGAGAAGAGCAATTTCTGCAAGTGAATGTGCTGCTTCACCTGTCCAAAATAGATGAAGCAATTTTCTTAACAAACCACATTCATAGCACAACCTCAGCATCGCTTCTTTGGCAGCTACGCATATGTTTTGAGGATGTTACATGCTCAGTAGTGCTTTGCATGAAAAGCCCAGCATTAATTGGTAATGCAAAAGGGATCAATACATTACAGTATGTGCAGGGGGTCAAGGGGATGTTCTTTATAGTGAAAATTCATCTTTCCACTCAAAGCCTGACTGCCATACTGATTGAAGTAGTGGCTCAAGGCAGACACTGGAAGGCAATCTACACACAATTCCGTAGGACCATTGCACCTTGATGCCTAGTGCTGCAAGGGATCTGGGAATCCAGACACTTGCAAGTCACAGCGCAAATGAGATGACAAGAATGATGACTCAAAACAATAAGAACAGAAAAAATTTGGTTCTGCCCATTTCATTTTGAGCAAGGGGACTGGTGATCAGATAAATTACATGACAAGAGTGGAAGCATTGGCTAGCTCCAGCACAAGTAGAAGTATGGCAATATTGGCAGTGACATACACCACTGATTTTAAGCTTTTGCATCTCTGGTAAGGGGGGACAAAGATAACAATGCACCCATCACTCCAGGTAAAAGTGGAAAGGTTGCCTCCCAGCCAGTGAAATATATCAAGGGGTAGTGGCAGAAGAGAAATTTGTACCAGTGCACTTGTCAATCAGTCGACTGGGACAATCAGATAATCAACAAGTGGACACCCAAGAGTTTGATAATTGGACAATAAGGCACCACGCTCACGACACAAAAGAGTGATCTGGTTTGTGTTTGGATGTCTGGCAATTGCACTAACCTGACCCATATTGCCCATGAGCTGTCCGGCTCCAAGGGCCTGCCCCAGTGCAACAGGCACAGGAACAGCACTTGTATCATCCCTGGCACACCCGCCAATACACATGCTTTCAAATCTGGGAACGTTTACAGATATTTGCAATTTGCCCACCATCTCTGCGTGAGGAAATGCAATCTGGTCGTTCAAATTTAATACTTTTAACAGACGTTTTCAACAGTACAATGAATGTGTCCATTAAATATATTTGAGAAATCGACACTCTGGTCATGATATGTATCTCTCCTGAGCTCAATTCATCAGACAACATCCATCTCCCAACGGCCTACTTACGAGCTGCAATAAACATTCGAAAAAGGGATTGCATTATTTCTCAGATAACTTGCCTTGCAGTTGTATGGGGCAGCATCCTTGGTAGCTGGGGAAAAAAATCGACTGAAGATGTTGATGGCACCTGCAAAGCAGTCAGCAAACGAGCTTCTGTGTACAAATTGTGTGGCATATTGAGCCTTGAGAGATATCAGTGAGTTTGCCCAATACCTGAGACGGAAAGAAATCTAGTTGGTACAGCTACAGCTGCACACCAAGGTGCTGAGCACAGTGCATAAAAAACATTGTAGCAGAGCTAGACAAGCAAAGTATATGTGCAGGATCTTTGGTATCAAAGAAGCAGCCACACCTTTATTGGACTGTTATCTTTGCCATGACATTCCTCAGATAATTGCAGCAATATGTTGTAGACCTCCTTCATTGTAGGCCTCGCTTTTGGGTTTCGGGCACAGCATTGCCTTATGAGCTCCAACATCTGTGGGGGACAATCCTCTGGTGCAACTGGGCAAGGTTCTTTCCCACTACATTTCATTGCCATGATAGCATACTCATTCACCCCTTCATACAAATGGCTCTGAGCGACAACCTCATAGCAAACAGCACCGAAGCTGTAGACATCCGATGCTTGGGTGATGGGCTTGTTGTCGTAAATCTCAGGTGCAATCCACTGTGGTGTCCCCCCACCCATCCTCACTGTCATATTCCTTGACAGGGCCACCTCAAAACCCATCCCAAAGTCACTTACTTTAACCTTGTATTCCTCTGAACATGTTCCGAAAACAAGAAAGTTCTGTGGCTTTACATCTCCATGAATGCGGTTCTGAGCATGGATATAAGCCAGGCCCGCAGCCCCCTGTGACAGCAGCCTGTTCTTCAAACTCCAAGCCAGTCCCACTCCAGAGTGGCACAGTGCATGCAGGTCAGACTGGGCCAGTTCCATCACCATCCAGCCTGATGTGGTGGTTGCCAGGAGCTGGACAATGTTTGGGTGGCTTCTGAGGGTAGCATGGATCATGACTTCCTTCAACAGTTCGGCTAATTCCTCAATCGGCAAGTCATCACCAATTCCCCTCAGCGATGTCTTCACAGCAACCTGAGCACACTGCCACACTGCTTTGTACACTGCACCCTGGCTACCCTTGCCCAGTTTTTTCCCCAGTCTGAGGGTGCCTTCGTCAATTATGTGCAGCAGCCTCATGTTTTCCTCATGTCGCTTCTTGCTGGACATCCATCGCTGTGCCACTTTGCCTTCAACAGTGCATTTACCGTCTTTTAGTATGTATGTGAGGAACCTGCGAAGATGATCTTCATCTTCCTCCACACACTTTGGAGGTATGGTGACCATAATGCTCGCAGCAGCTTGCATTCCCCACTCCTCAAGCACCTCTTTCAGGCACGCACAGATCTCTTCCACTGCTGTGCAAGCCTCCAAGATCGAGTAGTAGTCCCTAACATCGAAGACGGCGCCATGCTTGGCAACCAGCCTCTTCCCCTTTTCCACGGTCAGCTCGAAGTTGGCGACATCCTTCTTGCCAGCATTTGGGGGTGCCTCCACACCCCGCACTTTCTCCAGCTGAGCATCCAGGAAAGCCATGATCCGCCTGTTGTACAGCGCACCAAGGCGCTCCGATTGGTCCTGTTCACCAGCAGCCTGCAGTGCGCACTCAGCATGTTGAGAGGCGGCGATTGTCTGGAAGCCTTAGTGCCCTGCCCGTGATCAGGACCCTGCGGTCATGGCGGGAGACTTGCCCGAGGGAGATACTGATGCGCGGCCCGTCTCCTTTAAGCGTTGCAGTTTGCCAACACAATTGAATGACGCCGTGCTCGCTTTCGCGGTACACAAAACATATATTTCAAACTGACGCCCAGCAGGCAGCCAAGTTGCAACAAAAATTCCCTCTGTCATCGAACATCTTTCAGCCGGTTGACCGCAAAGCAAAAACTTGGCTTGAAACATCACGCGTCGCCCCGAGCTTTAGGTTCAGGGGCAGGGGCTGCCCCTCATGCTGGGGGCATCGCGAGTGGCCAACGAGCCGGAGCGCCCAGTTTCGCTGTCCGGATCGGTAGTCATCGCGAGTGGCCATCGGTTTCGCTGTCCGCATCGGCAAAAGTCTACCCCAATCTGTTCCTCCCTCTACCTTGGCTGGAGGATCCTCCATTTCTCCAGGCAAGCTGACGTCCCGCGGTTCGTGGTGCAGCCGGGCCCGCGACGAGTCGCTCGCTCAGTGCTGTGTCCACTGCCTCTGTCAGTCGGCAACCTAAATGGCACACCCAATGCTGACGCGTTACCAACGTCAGTCACAGTCACCGGCCCTGACAGTGGCTGACGCTCGTGACAGCACACACACTTCACGACGGACTGGGTCCAGCAATGGCGTGTTCGCGACTAGTCATGATCCAACACCGTTGTACAGGGTGGTCAGTGTTGGTGAAGGCAGGAAATGGGTCTCTACCGATAAACGCACTGTCCACTGCATGGGATAGCCCGTGCAAGACGCCTTTTCATGAAAATAAAAAGGGAAAAGAAGCAAACACACTGTGTAGGGGCTCACATAAGCAGACCATACGAGGGTGGCGAGGGGATTTTGGAAGGTCGGGGAACCATGGGCAGGGTTCCCG